TGAAGGGAGCCCAATGGGAGCCCAGCCCCGTTGCCGCGGCCCACGCATCCGACCCCGAAGCCCAGAAAGGAAACATGAAGGGAGCCCAATGGGCGCCCAGCCCCGTTGCCGTGGCCCACCCATTCGAAAGGAAACATGAAGAAGGGAGCCCAATGGGAGTCCAGCCCCGTTGACGCGGCCCACCCATCCGACCCAGGAGCCCAGAAAGGAAACATGAAGGGAGCCCAATGGGAGCCGTCACCCATCCGACCAAGGAGCCCAGAAAGGAAACATGAAGGGAGCCCAATGGAACCCCGGCCCCGTTGCCGCGGCCCACCCATCCGAAAGGAAACATGAAGGGAGCCCAATGGGAGCCCAGCCCCGTTGCCGCGGCCCACCCATCCGACCCAGGAGCCTAGAAAGGAAACATGAAGGGAGCCCAATGGGAGCCCAGCCCCCTTGCCGCGGCCCACCCATCCGACCAAGGAGCCCAGAAAGGAAACATGAAGGGAGCTCAATGGAAGCCCAGCCCCGTTGCCGCGGCCCACCCATCCGACCCGCCCACAAAGTAAACATGAAGGGAGCCCAATGGGAGCCCAGCCCCGTTGCCGTGGCCCACCCATCCGACCCAGGAGCCCAGAAAGGAAACATGAAGGGAGCCCAATGGGAGCCCAGCCCCCTTGCCGCGGCCCACCCATCCGACCATGTTTCCTTTCTGGGCTCCTGGGTCGGATGGGTGGGTGGCGGCAACAGGGCTGGGCTCGCGTTGGGCTCCCTTTGTGCTTTGGATGGGTGGGCCGCGGCAACGGGGCTGGCTCCAGCCCAGAAAGGAAAGATACGGGGCTGGGCTCCCATTGGGCTCCCTTCATGTTTCCTTTCTGGGCTCCAGGGTCGGATGGGTGGGCCGCGGCAACGGGCGCTTTCCGCTTGTGGATTTCACAGACCAGGCCTATCAGACCTGGTGCCCAGAGGTTCCTGCAAGCAAGTCAATGGTCAGTCAAAAACAATCGGGCAACTCTCCCGCCTTTTCAACAGAAGAACCTTGCGGCACTGGCAGGATCCTTGCCTGTGTATGTGAAGCATCTCTTCGTACGTCGTGTAAGTTATACCTGCAAACAATTCTGGATTGTTTACTCAGAAAAAACTCATATTGCTGCAGTGCAGCAGTGTGGCAACAATCCTGACAATCCTGCAACTGAAGGTAGATAGTGTGCCAAAACTTTGTGTTTTTGTACCCAAGAGCTTTGAGAGCTTTGAAGCCAGCAGAACTGGACTAACCCCTTCAGGCTCTAAGCAAAGCGCGAAGATAACAGAAAATCAGCCTTCAGGCTTCAGGCCAAGCGCGAAGCCAAAGAGCTTCAATCAGGCTTCAGGTGTTGTAACAGTTGCGGGAAAAGTTTTTTTTCCGCGTGTGGTGTGTAAAGAAGTAGGCTTTTTGTTTTCCTTTGTGAAAGCTCATCTGTGCGTTTCCACAGACGTACGCAGCTAGGTATCCTTTCTCACAATGCGGCAGTGTTGTAACAGTTGCGGGAGAAATGTGCATTTTTCCCGCGCGTGGTGTGTGCGGCAGCAAGATCCTGTGCAAGAGGCCCTGCGTTCGGTGCAGAAAAAATCGTCAACGGTTCCGTGCAAAGAAGGGTTTTTGTTTCCTTTGTAAACGCTCCTTTGTGCTTTCCACAAGCGTATGCAGCTAGGTATCCTGTCTCGCAATGCGGCAGTGTTGTAACAGTTGCGGGAGAAATGAGCATTTTTCCCGCGCGTGGTGTGTGCGGCAGCAAGATCCTGTGCAAGAGGCCCTGCGTGCGGTCTGCGGAAAAAATCGTCAACGGTTCCGTGTAAAGAAGGCTGTTTGTTTCCCTTGTAAACGCTCATTTGTGCTTTTTCCACAAACGTATGCAGCAAGGTATCCTGTCTCGCAATGCGCCAGTGTTGTAACAGTTGCGGGAGAAATGTACATTTTTCCCGCGCGTGGTGTGTGCGGCAGCAAGAACCTGTGCAAGATGCCCTGCGTTCGGTCTGCGGAAAAAATCGTCAACGGTTCCGTGTCAAGAAGGCCTTTTGTTTGCTTTGAAAAAGCTTATTTGTGCTTTTTCCACAAACGTATGCAGCTAGGTATCCTGTCTCGCAACGCGGCAGTGTTGTAACAGTTGCGGGAGAAATGAGCATTTTTCCCGGGCGTGGTGTGTGCGGCAGCAGGATCCTGTGCAAGAGGCCTTGCGTTCGGTCTGCGGAAAAACTCGTCAACGGTTCCGTGTAAAGAAGGCCTTTTGTTTCCTTTGTAAAAGCTCATTTTTTTTAGAAACGTATGCAGCTAGGTCGGATCAGCAGCTAGGTATCCTGTCTCGCAACGCGGCAGTGTTGTAACAGTTGCAGGAGAAATGTGCATTTTTCCCGCGCGTGGTGTGTGCGGCAGCAAGATCCTGTGCAAGAGGCCCTGCGTTCGGTCTGCGGAAAGAATCGTCAACGGTTCCGTGTAAAGAAGGCTTTTTGTTTCTTTTGTAAACGCTCATTTGTGCTTTTTCCACAATCGTATGCAGCTAGGTATCCTGTCTCGCAATGCGGCAGTGTTGTAACAGTTGCGGGAGAAATCAGCATTTTTCCCGCGCTTCTGCGGCAGCAAGATCCTGTGCAAGAGGCCCTGTGTTCGGTCTGCCGAAAAACTCGTCATCGGTTCCGTTTAAAGAAGTCTTTTTGTTTCCTTTGTAGAAGCTCATTTGTGCTTTTTCCACAAACGTATGCAGCTAGGTATATATCCTGTCCTGGAATGCGGCAGTGTTGTAACAGTTGCGGGAGAAATGTGCATTTTTCCCGCGCGTGGTGTGTGCGGCAACAAAATCCTGTGCAAGAGGCCCTGCGTCAGGTCTGCGGATAAAATCGCCAAAAGTTCCGTTGCGGCAACAAGATTCTGTGCAGCAGGCCCTTCGTTTCGTGTGCGGGAACAAAATCGCCAGCGGTTCCGTGTAAAGAAGACTTTTTGTTTGGTCTGTAAAAGCTCATTGTACTTTTTCCACAAACATATGCAACCAAGTATCCTGTCTCGCACTGCGGCAATGTTGTAACAGTTGCGACTGTTGCGGGAGAAATGTGATTTTTTCCGCGCGTGGTGGCAGCAAGATCCTGTGCAGGAGGCTCTTCGTTCGGTCTGCGGATAAAATCGCCAACGGTTCCGTCGCGGCAGCAAGATCCTGTGCAGCAGGCCCTTCGTTTCGTCTGCGCGAACAATCGCCAAGGGTTCCGTGTAAAGAAGGGTTTTTGTTTGCTTTGTATATAAATGCTCATTTGTGCTTTTTCCACAGACGTATGCAGCCAGGTATCTCGTCTCGCAACACGGCAATGTTGCAACAGTTGCGGGAGACACGTGCTTTCTTTCGCGCGTCGTGTGTGCGGCAGCAAGATCCTCTGCAGGAGGCCCTTGTGCAGGAGGTTCTTCACTCGGTCTGCGGAACAATCGTCAATGCTTCCGTGTACAGAGAGCTTGTTCTTTGCCTTATAAGCCAACAAATCCCTTCCTGCTTCTTTTGCCAAATATTCGCGGCAAAGTTCCCACTTTTTCCCGTGCGACAGCCAGCCGAACCGAATACTAAGCTCATTTGCGTTTTTCCACAAGAGTCTGAAGCAAAGGCCGCAATGCGGCAATGTTGTAGCAGTTGCGGGAAAGTTGTACATTGTTTCCGTGCGTGGTTTGTGCAGCAGCAAGATCCTGTGCAGGAGGAGGCCCTGCGTTCGTTTTGCGAAAAAAATCGTCAACAGTTCCATGTACACAGAGAGCTTGTTTTTTGCCTTGTAAGCAGACAAATCCCTTCCTGCTTTTTTTGGCCAAATAGTCGCGGCAAAGTTCCGCAGCAAGATCCTGTGCAGTAGGCCCGTCGTTCGGTCTGCGGAAACAATCGTCAACGGTTCCGTGGAAGGAGGTCTTTTTTTGTGTGCTTTGTAAGCCGACAAGTCCCTTCCTGTTGTTTTTTGCCAAATATTGGCGGCAAAGTTCCCACTTTTTTCCCGAGCCGAATATGAAGCTGATTTGTGCTTTTTCCACAAACGTCTGCAGCACGGCCAGGTATCCTGTCTTGCAACGCGGCAATGTTGTAACAATTGCGGGAAAAGTATGTGTTTTTCCCGTGCGTGGTTTGTGCGGCAGCAAGATCCTGTGCAGGAGGCCCTTCGTTCTGCCGAATGCTTAAACATTTTTCGCAGCATCTGCTGGCGAAGCCAGATTGGGTTCCAACGCATTCCATCTTGAACCGGTATGATTCGATGCATTCTGTTTGGGGTCTTCGCTGGTGTAATTTGGTAGACATATACACATACTTTGTTTCTACGAGGCTTTTTAGCAAGCTAGGGCTTTTTACAGGGCGTATGGGACTTAGGGCTTTGGGGGTCTGAGGGCCCCGGGGTTTGATTGGGGCCGCTAACGCGTACATGTGAAGTTGCCTGGGCTGTTTAGGAGGCAGCCGGTTCAGCGCGTCTGGGTTGAAGGTGTAGGGCCGACACATGCGGGCTTCCTAAGACCGAAGCCCTTAAGCCCTGAACCCCCCAAAGGGTTTAGGGTTTATGAGGGTTTAGGGTTTAGGGGAACCATCACATGACAACACCCATAATCCTTAAACCCTCAAACCAATTAAAACCCTAAAAATTCCTTTAAACCCTTCACCTTAAAGCCCTACATACCCTTAAACCCTGAAACCCCAAACCATGAACCGCAGCTCCCCAGGAGTCCAGTGGCCGGTGCCACCAAGGCGGAGGTGTGCACCAAGTGCGAGGCCATGCCGTGACACGCCGGGGCTCCGGTTATACAAGGCACCCCTAAATGTAGGGTTTAGGGTTTTATTGGGGTTTTTAAAACCCTTAGCCCTATACCCTAAAACCCTCAAGTCTAGCTCCCTGAACCCTGGCAGTGATACCACAGGGCTTAGATTTCCCCGAGATTAAGAGAAGAAAGGACACTGGGGACCTTAAACCTGCCAAAACCTTGACAGGCCTTCCGGTTCTGATGAGCCCTTAGAATCCTTAGATGCACTTGAGCAATGAGCCGTTTTGAGACCTTTGCAGCCCTGTAACACCCTCTGTACGCCAACCCTAAAACACGAAACGCTTTGCCAGGCCGGCAAGTGGAGCCCGCAGATTGGCGCCGTGACGGAGACCGTTTGTGTGTCCTGCACGGCAGGTCGCTACAACGAGAAGGTGCCAGTCGGAGGGGATCTAAGGTTGAGGGGTTGCGAGGCTTGTTTCTAAACACTGGCAGAGTGTCTGCAAAATGGAGATGCCGTCATCAAATTGCTTGCGTTGGCTCCTGTTGAAGTGTAAGCTGGCCAACACCTGTGAAGCTACAAACCGCAGCAGCCCAAAACCCTTCAGCCCTCAAGTCCTCAACGTCGGCATCTCCCCAAAACCCCCTGCCCCCCAACTAACTGACCTCTGGGGGGTTCAAGAACCTAAAGACCCTAAGCCCTATAAACCCTGAAGCCCAGCCACTCCAAAATCTCGAAGGTTGGCTCCTCCGGCTTCGAAGCCTGCATCTCCTGCAAACCTGGCACCTGGAGTGGCAAGGCAGAGGGGGCGAAGAAGTTTTATGGCTGGTTTGGGTGGTTCAGGGGCTGAGAGCTAAAACCCTAAACCCCCTAAACCCCCTAAACCCGATGGCCTACTTTGCTCTAGGGATGGGTTCGCTTTGTCTTTCAGGCTGCCGTTAGCCGCGTACCCCCAAACACCTATAAAAAACCTAAGGGCTAAGGCGGCTAAGGGCCAAGGGTGTAGTTCTGGGGTCGGAACAGAAGGCAGACCTAAAGCTCATGTGCACGTGAATTTGCAGGCGAAGAGGTTACAGTGGCACGCTACTAGCGCGTACGATTGCGCGCCCGTGCTTTCTTGAAGCTTCCAGAATTTCGCTACTGAGCTGTCCAACCCCCCCCTAAACCCGAAGCCTTGAACCAGCTGCTCCGATTCCCCAAACCCTAAACCCCAAACCTAAACCCTAAACCCTGTATAAACCCCAAACCCTAAACCCTAAACCCCAAGCATTCCCTTACTCTTTCAGATCGGTGCGGACACGGTGAGCGTGTGCGAGGCTTGTCCAGCAGGCACCGCCCTCGGGGCCCCCCTTCAGGACTTTGGGTTTTGGGGTTTAGGGCTTTAGGGGTTTAGGGGTCTAGGGGTTTAGGGGTTTAGGGGTTTAGGGGTTTAGGGGTTTAGGGGTTTAGGGGTTTAGGGGTTTAGGGGTTTAGGGGTTTAGGGGTCCAGGGTGCAGGGTTTTGGGGTTTAGGGTTTAGCATAGGGCACCGATCCCGGCAGTCTGGGGAGGGGGGGGGCTCTACCTGCGAAACGGTTTTACGGCGCTTGAAGTTCAGAGAACCCTAAACCCTAAACCCTAAATCCTAAACCCTAACCTTAGGGCCCAGTTCTGGAGGTTGCTCAGAGCCCAGAGCTTCGACCCTGTGCCTTGCTAATGCCCACAAGAGGCTTAGGGTTTAGGGTTTGGTGTTTGGGGTTTAGGGTTTAGGGTTACCTCTAGACAAGAACCCTCCCTAAGCCGTAGAGAAGCCCGAACGATGAAGTCTCGAATGAAGCTCTAAATGCGAAGCCTTTGAGAAGTATAAACCCTAGGTACGCAGTCTTGCCTTGCCTAAACACGAGGTCCCAAGTATGAAGCCCCAAGTGAGAAGCCCTACAAATGATGAAAGATCCCCAGAAAGAATAAACGCTCAGCCCTCCAACACCAGGACCGGAGATGCCCAAGGGATCCTCTGATACCGTGAGCCAGAACAAAACCGAAGAAGCAACAAAATAAGCCCTGAACCCCCAACATACGCGAATAACGTGTGCAAAAGTCTCGACCCGAAGCCCTCCCCAAAAAAGTTCTGACCCCCCCTCCCCGCCCCCGCCCCCAAACAAACAAAAATCTGCAATGAACCCAATAGGCTCCCTGAGATTCAGGCAAGTGGAGCCCCGCAATGGGCGCTACGTTTCCCGAGACCTGCGCCAGCTGCCAGCCGGGTGGGGGCCTCAGGGATCGCATAGGGTTCTCTAGGGGTTCTTAAATGATTCAATAGGTTTTCGTTTCGATTTTGTACGTTTAGGGTACAGAAGGGTTCAATGAGAGTTGATGGAGGTTGTGTTTTGTAGGCTTAATCGGGTTGGCTCGGGTGCTCTTTCGCTGGCATATGCGTAGTTGGAGCTTGCCATCAAGCACAAAGCAGCCGCCGGCCGGCAAGCAGGAGCATGCAGAATCTATCTTGGAACGTAGACCCCTGGACATGCATGGACCCCAGTTGCCCGGAACCTCCACTAGAATGTGTAGTTCCTAATCGGGTTAATTCTGTAAGGGCTTTAAGGGTGGTACCATGTCATGGGTCCATGGCGACTAAGTGAAACACATCGCACCTTCGTATGCGGGATACGGATGAGGGTTTCTTCAGGCTGCAGCATCTTGGGTTCACAAGATTTCAAGGACAAATTGTTAAAGCCAGTGATCCTATTACAGCTCCTTAAAGGGCTAAGTATTGGCATATCAGCGACCAGAACTCTCACCTCTATAGTGAAACTCACACCGCTGACGGCTGGCTCCCGAAGAGGCCCCTGCTGATCAGGGGGCCGAAGAAGGCAAGGAGACCAAGGCCCCCTAAACCCTGAACCCTACAAACCCTACATCCTAGGCCCTAAACCCCGCCCCCTGGTGGAGAATCTCAAGGCGGAGTGGCCTGTATTGTCCTTTGGACAAAGGACATCAAGGAAGAGCGAGGGTTTGTTGGGCTTATAGGGTAGGGCTTACCGAGCCTGACTGAGAAGGCTTAGAGGCCTTGGACGGTTCATAGCGCGCAGGGCTGTAGGGTCCATAGGATGTATGGCTTTAGGGCTTTAGGGTTCATAGGGCTGAGGTCTGAAGCTGGAGGGTTGACGGCTAAGAATTTAGGGAATTTGGGCTTCAAGGGGTATGTAGGGCTAAACCCTGAAGCCCTGAAGCCCTAAACCCGACACTACACCTCCTCGTTCGTTTCTAGGCATGCCCTCACTATCTGAGGCCGTCCTGAGGACACCGAAACTCAAGGAAAGACCCAGCAAACCAAAACTCCAGGGAAAATCAGTGCCTCCAAGCTCCAAGGAACCTGGAGCAGCACAAAGGGTGCCTCCGCCCAGGCACTGGGCTTTGTGCCACTTTCGGGGGTTTCGGGCTTCAGGGGTTTCAGGGGATTGTGCGGATGATTAGGGGTTTTTGGGTTCGAGGCTTTCTAGCCAGGGGCCTCTTGAGGTTCAGTTTAGGGGTTTGGAGAACGCAGTGGGCACATGATGGGAAGCCGCAATCCTGGTACTGATATTCCAACCAGATGCCCATGATATAATTAGTCTGAAGCTTCCCTTTTGGGGGGTTTCCATACATCTTCCCCGAACTACAGCTTAAAACCCTAAACCCTAAACTTCATCAACCCTAAACCCTAAAACCCTAAGCAAAAACCCCAAGCCGTGAACCCCATACCCGAAAGCCTTGACCATTTGTTGTCATGGTCGGCCGTGGATTGTGCAAACCTTAGCCGACCTGTATAGCACCTGTAGTTTAAGCCCTGAATCTTACGTTGTACCCCAACCCTAAAACCTAAACTCCAAACCAAAAGAAGAAACGCTGTATGGTGCCCCCCCCCTCCCCCCCCCCCCCCCTACTCCCATGGTCCGGGTCCCCCTGTTTTGGGCTTTGGGGCCTTCACGTAGGGCTTTAGGGTTTAGGGTTTGGAGGTTTTACTTGGGGCTTTAGGGTTTAGGGTTTGGGTTTGCTTAAGTTTATAGGGTTTAGGGCGTTGGGGTTTTCAAGGTTTTGTGGGTTTTGGTCTCCTCGGGCACTGTAGTGAGAATACATTTAAGCGTTTGCTTGGGTAGCAGGTGTTAGAGTATGGGGTATAGGGTTTGCATGAGGTTGTTGGTTTTGAATGTTGGGGGGTAAGGCAACTGGCACGCAACACGGCACCATAAAAACCGTCTATATGCCCTTTAAAGAAGCCTACAAAGACCCTCCTCAATCCAGACTCCAAGAACCAAAACCCTTGAAACCAAAACTCTGAACCCTAAACTCTGAACCCTAAACCCCAAACCCTAAACCCAAAACCCAAAGCTCCCTGTGCAGACCTTCTGTGAGAAATGCGGCCCGGGGAAGTACAGCGAGGCCGGCACTGGCTCTTCCGGGTTTTGAGCTGCATCTTAGGGTTTGCGGCGTAGGTTGGGGTTTAGGGTTTCGGGTTTCCGTAGAGGGTACCTGAAGCCCTAGAAAGGGCTCTGCGTTTTCTTAGCTGTGACGTCCACACCATGGTCCGTTTTCCGTCCGTAGATCAAGCGGATCGCTTCAGCCGTTTCAACCCCTGACTCACCATGTCTCACCAGTGGTCACCACACCACAACCCTAAACCCTAAACCCCATAAAGGGTCATGACGAGCCTCTGTAGAAAGTAGAAGCGCTCATTAAAGTGAATCAGCTCCGTTTGCCGCCATGAGCTCGGCTGCTCCTGGCTCTGAAGGCCCCGAAGCTAAACGGCCGCGGCGCGAAGACACCATAGACCTCGATGTGGGAGGCACTCCATTCCGCACCACGAGAATGACGTTGCAGAAATCCCCGTTCTTTGCCAACCTTCTCGAGTCTGGGTTTGGCAAGTTAAGTCATTGTTGCTTAATTGCTTGTTTTTCTTTGGCCTAGGTCGTATAGAAGGGGATAGCTTTTTTTGCTCGATGTCCATGTTGTTTCAGAAGACCTCCGAGGCTTGCGGGGGCGAGGGCCCTGTCTTCGTTGACCGCTGCCCGCAGCTCTTTGCCCACGTGCTCCAATTTTTGCGCACTGGGCGCGGTCCGCGGTGTGCAACGCTTGCGGAAAGCGATGCTCTCGCAGGAGAGTTCGACTTCTTCGGGCTCGACGACTCGCAGATCTCCTTACCGGAGCAGGTGGTGCTCACTGGGCAGTACTATTGGCACAACTCCAAGGAGACAGCGGTCCACGCAAAGGTGGAGGCTTACCTGGATGAGGGATTTCAGATCAAACACCTGTCGTCCTTCGCAGGCATGGTGGAGGCAGAAAATGGCGTGGCTGGGTGCACATTCGTGCTGGAGAAATGATGCAAAGGCATGAAACTCGTGGCACTTGGGTGCTTGTGGAACTACCCTTGTCTGTGGCCCGCTTCACGAACAGTTGGCCTGACTCATGTCAGGCAAGGTCGGGCTTGGCTGCTATGCAGCTCAGAATTTCCGAGTGTCGGGCGAAAGACGGGCAAACACACACACACGCACACACACACACACACACACACACACACACACACACACACACACACACACACACACACACACACACACACACACACACACACACACACACACACACACACACACACACACACACACACACACACACACACACACACACACACACACACACACACACACACACACACACCACACACACACAGCACACACACACCACACACACACACACACACACACACACACACACACACACACACACACACACACCACACACACACACACACACACACACACACACACACACACACACACACACACACAACACACACACACACACACACACACACACACACACACACACACACACACACACACACACACACACACACACACACACACACACACACACACACACACACACACACACACACACACCACACACACACACACACACCACACACCACACACCACACACCACACACCACACACCACACACCACACACCACACACCACACACCACACCCACACCCACACCCACACCCACACCCACACCCACACCCACACCCACACCCACACACACACACACACACACACACACACACACACACACACACACACACACACACACACACACACACACACACACACACACACACACACACACACACACACACACACACACACACACACACACACACACACACACACACACACACACACATACATTGCAGTCTTTGTGATGGGCACTTGTGCCAGTTTACCGCCAGGACGCAGGACAAGAAAAGGCTCTCGCAAACGACATGTTTGCTGATTGAAGGGCTCCGTGGAAACTTATTCTCAGGGCGTTTTGGGCCTGGTGCCTGGTGGGGTAGAACAGAGGCAGAATCGTCGGTTTCAGAGTGGCAGCATTCCAGTACCGAGCCAAGCAAGTTGGCAAGTCCAACGCTGGTTAGGACCTCACGTCTGCCTCTTGGCCCTGAACCTTCCCGTTCCGGCGTTCATTCGGAGGTGTTGAGGGTCGTAGTTTGTTTGCTACACACTCGAACCTAAAACATATGCCCCAAAGCCTCAACCCCTTGAGCCCTAGCCCCACACCCGAACACTCCGGGAGGTGACGGCAGCGACGAGTGAGGCCACCTGCACGAAATGCGGCAAGGGAACGTACCAGCCTGGCGCCCGGGTTTGCGGTTTAGGGTTTAGGGTTCAGGGCTTGGGGCTTAGGGTTTGGGGTTTAGCGCTGCGCGTTGTTTTTTTTGTTCGGTATCTTGGGTAAAGAATTTACAGAGTCGGTTAGGCTTTGGAGCTTGTTGTTGCAGCCGTTTTGCTTACGTATACCCTAAACCTTAAATTAAAGCCCTAAACTCTAGGCCCTAACCCAAGACTGAACCCTAACCCAAGAATAGATGTGTGTGTATATATATACATGTATTACCTACATATACATATATACATATTATAAGGGGGTTGCCCCACCCCCTCCCCCCAATGATCTGGGTTTTGTTTTTGTAGTAAGAAAGCCCTCGTAATTATCAAGAAGCATGACACGCTGAGAATGTATGGCAAAGTCCATTTTCTGTTGGTCGGCTCCTATATGAAAACCCGTGCAAAAGTCGTGGTCGTTGAAGTTGCTGTTGCTGTTGCTCTTGCTGTTGCTGTTGCTGTTGCTGCTGTTGCTGTTGCTGTTGCTGTTGCTGTTGCTGCTGCTGCTGCTGCTGCTGCTGCTGCTGCTGCTGCTGCCTGCTGCTGCTGCTGCTGCTGCTGCTGCTGCTGCTGCTGCTGCTGCTGCTGCTGCTGCTGCTGCTGCTGCTGCTGCTGCTGGTGCTGCTGCTGCTGCTGCTGCTGCGGCTGCTGCTGTTGACGAACACTGCTTAAAAGAAGAAGTGGGGGGGCAATGCCTTGAAACCCAAAACGCAAAGCGCAGAACCTGCTAGCCTAAGGCCTTAACCCCGATACATTAAACTCCCATTTACGTTTTGCAGCATCGCTCAAAGTTATTGCGGGCAATGACGTGAAGCTCGTCGATTCTCTAAAACCGCCGCGACAGTTGACGTATCTCTGTGTTGACATACTGCCGGTTGCCCATTCCTCTCGAGTTTGAACGCTGGCAAGAACAGGATCTGCCAGCAACGTCTTCCAAATCAGGGCCGCTTTCTACATTTATTAAACTTTAGTAACAGAACGCATTCAAACAAGGATTGAACGTAAGAGGCGCCCCCGAATAGCACTGTGCCAGCTTTTCCGCTTAGCTGGTAGAACTTCCAAAGTTGTAGGTAGGTACAGAGTCCAGGTGTAGCTGAAGTCCCCAGCAGAAAGCGAGGAGACGGCCACGACATATCCGCAGGGACGAAGTCGGGCTCGCTTGTGTTGAAAGCCCGAGACGATCATCTAGCGATGATAACCGGACCATCTTGGAGCACTTGCAGGGGGTGAGCCGGTGGGTTCCATCACGTCATGTCACTTGACAATATAGCATGGCTTTAATTTTATTGTGTCATGATGCATGATGCCGAGATCCTGCCACCAGCAGGGTCCAGCCGACAAAGCAAAACACGAAAACACAGAGCACGCTTTATTGTTTTCGCAAATGACAATGGCTTGGGGAAGATGTTTGAAGCATCGGGACGACGGATGTAGAGACAACAAACTAGACATGTATTGATCAATCATGGAGCCAGCTGCGATATTTGACATGGGACGTGAAGGCATGACTAACAAACAGGCTTTGCTTTCGGTGGCAACCGTGGGTATAGAACGGCTTGGACCTTTTCTCGACTTGCATTTTTTATCCGCTTGTGTCGAAATGCGTTTGTAGTTGTGGCTTGGACGCCGGGGCGCCATGTCGAGGCCAATCATCGCCGCAGGCAACCACACGCTCTGCATTCCTTGTTCAGCCGCTGGTCTTGTTTGGTATCTGTTGCAAGGGACGACGAAAGGCAACGCAGCAGAGACGTCAGGCAAATTGTCCAAGATGCAACATCCCGTTGAGTCAAGGGCCCTTCGTTTACGGGTTTGGTTCTGCTCATTGTGTTTATGTGACGATGTTGCTGTAGCAAGTAGTTGACAAGTAACCAAACCGATTAGATCGGCTGCCATGTCTCCCCGTGTGAGACCGTGCCAGGTGGGAAATTTCAGCAAAGGCGTCGGCGTGGCAATGTGCGACGTGTGTCCTTTTGGTGTTCCGGCTGCATTACCAATCACGAAGGCCATGGCTTCAAAATTCATGCGTCTCTTCAATAAGGTTGCTGATAGGCATTAGCAAATCAACATGTCACTCCGAAGTTGCATGCAGTCTTGATGTGGCATCGCATCTTCGAGGGCCATCTGCCTACCACGTGCTCCTCAAAAGGGAACCCTTCTGAACCCTCTTCTGGCTCTGTTGAACAGGGACCTTATTCAGAGGGTCTATATCCTCAAGGGTCCTTTTAATCCTATCCTCGATGTCCTTTTGCAAGAAAGGCACCTACGGCGACGACTTCGGCCTGACGAGTTGCACGGCTTGTCCCGAAGGCCCGGGGCATTTCGGGTTTGCGGGCTTGGGGGTTCTTAGGAGGGTTTTGGGTTAATGAGTAGGACTTAGTAGGATTTGGGCGTACCTATAGGGTCTTAGGGGACAGGGTTTTGTAGGAGTTTTTTGGGGGTGGGGGGTCAGATTTTGGGGTTTCTGGGAGCCCAGGTCTCGGAGTGTGAGTGTTTTGTTTGGGCCCGTCATGATTTGGCTGTTGGTTTGTTGAATGAAGAAGCCGACTGTGTTTTATAGGGTGAGTAAGGGGTATATAAGGGTTCCCACGTTACCGGCCCATGTTCAGGGACCATGTACTGGTTCGAAGTAGCTGTTTAAGAATTACCCGCGCGCGAAGCTGTCGATCTGTTCAGCGCTACCGAGCTTCTGAATACACTCACATGCACATGGCACCCCGAACCCATGCCCCAAAGAACAAGTCGCCGACAGTCAGGCACCTGGACACGTGCCGAGGGCTCCTTCCGTAGCGACCAGTGCGCGGGCTCAGGGTGTTTACAGCATCGTAGGGTTTAAGGCATAGCTTTCCCCCTAACATGAAAGCTCTTTCCCCCAATAGAACAGTTTCCGTCCTAGTGGTGGAGCAGCTATATTTTCTTTTGTTTTTTGGGGGGGGGTCGAACGCGGCTTAGGGAGTTCTCCCATGTCAGTTTTCAAAGCAGTTGGTACTCGTAGCTTCGTAGGTTACACCATTTAAGAGGTGAGATGCTACTCAACCGTAGCCAAAAACATGCAACAGCCGGCTTCGGATGTCAGGGCCTGGGGCTTTCTGTTTTGGCGAGTCACTTCTTCTCAGCTATTCACTCAAAGTGCTGAACCCGAAGCCCCGAAAACCTAAGCCCTAGACCATAAACCCTCTAAACCCGATAAACCCTTCTAAACCCTATCAACCCCAACAAACCCTTAAAAACCCTTTAAACCCTAAACCTTTTCAAATTTAGGTGCAGCAGCTGGATTAAGCCGCCGGCGAAGGCGCCCGCCTTTCCACCGATTCTTTGGTCCCAGTGGGCAGTGGGGTTTAGGGTTTAGGGTTTAGGATTTGGGGTTTGGGGTTTAGGGTTTGGGAGTTTAGGGTTGAAGGTATGGGGGTTTAGGATTGAAGATTTGGAGGACGTAGCCTTTTCGATTCAGGGCTTGCGGGTTTTGGGGGCTTAGGGGTTTTGGGGCCTAGAGCTTTGTACGGTTTAGGTTTGTTGTGTAAGGCTTCGGGTCTTTGCAGGTTTAGGGCCGTGTCTAGCGTTTAGGGGTCTTACGGGCTTGGGTTCGAAGGGTCTCAGGGTTTCCTTACAGGTGTCGGGCCTTGGGCTTAGGTTTTTAATCATGTTACAGCTGGGTG